AAAAAGCAAAAAGTCGATTTCGTCGACATGTTCGTGACGTCTTCCTCGTCTACTTTTTTCTGTTTGGCTCTTTGAGCGATTCTCATGTTCGCAAGCGTTTGCTTCAATTGCTGACTCCTCTCTCTCATTGCTTTTATGTGAGTGGAATGACTTATGTGTTGAGTGTATTGTTTGAAAGTGACGCATTTCATAGAGCATTGCGGACATTGAAGTTTCATGAAAGGCCTCCTGAAAAAATCCGATCTCTCTTCCGATTTCTTCTGCTTATCCTAAACAAAGACAAAAAAAATTTCTTTTTTTTAACTGTCATGGATTCAAATAACGGTCGAAGAAAAAAAAAAAGAAAATTTTTTTTACTTTTTCCTTGTATTCGCTGCTTTCGCCATCGCAATTATCCGAATCCTTTTTCCCTTTCGATTTTTTCTCATCAGACTTTTCGTAAGATTCGTCGTGCTTGAAAACCGGAAAAGAAAAAAAAATTAATAAGTGCGTGCGTGCGTGCGGGTGTTTGTGCGTGTACGCATTATATAAAACCAACTTCGCTTTGTTTTTTATCAGTCTGTTCTCCATCTTCTACGGTTCCCGCGTTCGCGCTGTCGCTGTTTGACGTGTTTGCCGCCGTCGATGACGACGTACCTGAAGCACTCGTTGTTTTCTCATCTCTTTTTTTCTCTTCCGAAACTTTTGCTTTCGTCCTATCGCGAAACCTATATTTTCATTGTCATTGGAAAAATGTAAAAAAAAAAAAAAAAAAAAAAAATCAATTATTAATAACGTCGAAAAAAAAAAAAAAAAAACAAAAATTAAGGTACGAGAAAAAATTGTTTATATAAAAAAAAAAAATTTATTTATTATTCGCATTCCCCACTTTTAAACCCTTTCGATTAAAAGAATTTTTTTTTTATTTCCTTTTCCTTTTTTTCATCATCATCGTCATCATCATCATCATCATCATCCTTTCAAAATCATGCCAACAAAAAAAAAAACTTTTGATACTTCTTTATTGGCTGGGCACAATTTTTTCCAAAATTAATTAAACCCTTCAAATAATTCAAACACATCCGTTTACCAAATTATTTATTTATTTATTTTAAATTTCTTATTTCGTCGCCATTTTTATTTATTTACATAACCACGTCACATATTTTAAAATTTCAAATAAATTCTTCTTAAAAAGATTGTCAACGCAATCTTTATTACAATTTCGTATGTAATTCGTCAGAATTTTTTTTTTTTTTTTTAAGGGATTAATTATTACCCCCCGACTTATTTTTCAAATTATCCTTTTATTATTTAAATGCGTGTGTGTGTGTGTGCGTCTTTATTTATTTATATTCTATAATCATAAATATCCATTATAAATGCTCTCTCTCTCTCTATCTATCTCTCTCTTTCTTTATAATAATAATAATAATAATAATAATTTGATCCAATTTTTAAAACAACACAGTTGATTCTTATTATATTCTTGATTTTTCTTGATTTTTAAATCTCGTTTGTGTTATTATTATTATTGTTTTGTTTATTAACAATGACCTCTCACGGTGAAATTCGTTATTATTGAAAGCATATATGTAAGGTAGCAGGATGATAAAGCTACATATAAAAACATTACCTGATACTTTTTTTTTTTTTTTTTTTTTTTTCTTAATAATTTTTACTTTGTTTTTCTTGCTATTTTTTTTTTTTTTAACAGAATTCATACCTCCTCAATCTCAGCATTTTTCTCCTGATAGCAATCAATTCAGAAGCACTTTTGCTGCTGGAAAAAACAGGTCGTTTCCTTGCAAGAAAACTCTCTCCGCCACGCCTTAATATTGCTCGTCCGCGGGTGTATCGTCCTCTAAATGACCGTAGTTTAGACACAGGTACAGAGGACCGTGATATTTCTTTCCGGCCTCTGTACTCCTCTTTTGATTTGAAATCGGACATACGTGGCTTCTTGAAAACTCCACGGTTTTCGCTATAGCTTCGCGATTCTGAATACGAGTTGGAAGTCGAATAACGACTTCCACTGCCACGATAATCTTCTATTTCGTGACTTCTTCGGCTTCCGGTTGTTCCCTGTTTTCGACAAATTTTTAAAAAATTATTTTATTTATTTATTTATTTATTTTTTTTTTTAAATTTTTTTAATAGCGGTTTTTTTTGTTGTTGTTGTTGAGATGCACAACCTATATATATATTTTTTTTTTTTTAAAATTTTAATTTACAGCTAATTATTTATTTATTTATTTTTTTTTTTTGTTTTTGCATAATTTTTTTTTTTTCAATTGTGTCATTTTATTTCATTTCGTTTTCCTTTTTCACATTTACAAAAAGAAAATTATTCTTTCTTCAATCAATCAATCAATCAATCAATCAATCAATCAATCTGAAAAAATAAAATCTGCAAACAAACAGAAGAATATGATAAACAATAATAATGACATTTGTTTCCTCATATACAGGCGATTAATAATAATAATAATAATTAATTATAACAGAATACCAACTTATCGGCCTTATTATTCCAGTAGTTTTACATTTATAACAAAATTTTTCAAAAAAAAAATTAATTAACAATAAAAAAAAAATAATGATTTCCATTTTTTTTTTGTTTTAATAACATGTTTTAATCATATAGGTGGCATCTTATAAAAGTGATTACATATAACAAGTTAAAAAAAAATATCGATGGAATCTTGGCTTGTAAAATTGAAGATAATCAATAGTCTTCGACTCATGGTTTACCTACATGTAATTTTTGCCAATTATTCAAAATTCTATTACATTGATTCCGCTAAATGTACATATTATGTACATAATTAATTTTGGGTTTTATGTAATATAAATCTTCTTTGTTGTAAGAAAAATCAGAACATTTTATAACTGAATTTGTTCAAAGATTTCAGTTTATAATATATATATATATATATATATAATAAACCTAAATGTAATAAATTATTTGCTTTTCCAAATATAAAACATTTTTTAAATATAGGAATGTAATTATTTTCACAGATGATTGCAACAGAACAATTAAATTTACCATTTATAAGGTAAATCAATGATTATCTTATCATTTCATTGCGACAACAAAAGGCTCCTGTTAAAATAATACATTAATAATTATCTAATCAAACCTAAATACCTGAGATTGAGAATAACTATCACTTCTTAGTCTTTTCCTTCCAAGGTCAACATCCGACCTGTGATGAGAATGATCTCTACTAGATCCATATGATGATTCTGTTTTCCTGTAGGAAGAATCATCCATACGTGAATGAGAGCCATATCTTGTTCCACTATCTTCAATACAATTATTATATTGTTAATAACTATGTTAAGTAGAATAACGGATATTCCAATGGGAATACATACCTGAACTGTACTTAGAACTAGAATTTTCATATTTGGGATAGTAACTTCCTCGTCCTCTTGAACTAGAATATCCCCGAGATGAAGAATAACCCCCACTGTTTCCACCACGTGAACCCCGATAAGAGGACTCTCCTCTACCACCACCACCACGGTACGAGGAACCACCCCTAGACGAAAATCGTCCACCTCTAGAAGACATATTTTGACTTGAACTATAATAATAGTCCATGATACTGTAATTGAAGCCGTCGTATCAAACTTTAAATAGCAAAATGGCGGAAATAAAAATTACAAACTTTACTCATTCGTAAAAAAAAAAAAAAACTCACTCTTAAAATTAAATTAATAATTGAATATTTTTTTTAAAACATGAAGCTACATTAATAAACTTATTAATATTGTAAAATTTTTTATGAAAAAATTGACATATGAAATTGTTTTTTTATAACAAAATATTGTATTAATTTTAGATCACTTTTGAATGCACATGAACTCACAAATCGACGCGCACGCTATTTGAGGGCATATGACTGCAAAATGTTTTCATAACTTTTTTTTTTCTAATCATAAAACAAATTAATAAAATTAATGTAATGTTAATACGCGTAATAAAATAATATTTTTAAACTTGAAAAATAATTTCATATTATATTTTTTATCAACATGAATTGAAATTAATAATTAGCCTGAATTTTTTTCTTTTTTGACAAAAAAAAAAATACCTTTCATAACTTTTATAAAAGCTTGAATCTCACCAATATTTTAAATATCGTTTAGAATTTTTTTTTATTTTTCGTTTGGAGTTTTGGCTTTTATTAACGAAGGTAAAATTATAAAATTAATTTCTTTTAAATATAAATTTGTAATTAATTTTAAATAATGTATTGATTTGAATTCAAAATCTATTCTTGAATTTTTGTAAAAATTTGTAACGAAGCCTCCACAAAATTTTTTTTCCCGCTTTAAATTATCTCATAACTCATTTTAATTTCGTAATAAACGTACCACCTTTGATTTAATCATGGTTGAAAACTAAATTTGTTATTTTAAAATTTAAACAATAAATTGTTGACAATATTACATGACAATAATGCTTGTCGATTAAAGAAAATTTTTGGATTTAAGTTAGGGAAGAAAAATTATCATTATCATTTAAAAAGAAAACACTTTGTTTCATATGCTTAAAATTCAAATAAAATTTATTAAATTAAAATTATAAAATTAAAAAAAAAAAATTTAATTTGTTACGATAACTTATTTTTATTAAAAAAAAAAGGAAATTACTTTTTAAAAAAACAATTGAACATTTCATCAGACTATCATTATTTTGACACATGGCTTTCAATTACTTATTATTCATTATCAATTCATCATCGATAGTACAATAGTAATGTATTAAAAAAAAAAAAATTAAAACCTTAAATAATAATTAAAACAAAAAAATTATGAAATTGTTATTTCTTTATTGTCATCTTTAATCGATTTTTTATCTCTTAATGCTTTCAGAACATCTTGAGTTTCATTTGGAACGCAACCACTGGAAATAGCCAAATTCAATGCTTCAAAACAACCCTTAAGATCCCAGTTAACTTTAAAGCTTTTATCTTCGCTCTGTAAAACGTAAATATAAATTTATTTTTTTTATTTTTTTTATTAACATATTTAGTTAAGTATAATCTATACAAATTGACATGAATTAGACTCACCTTAATCAAATTAAAATAAACAAACAATGTGTTGTTAACAATTGGTAAACATTTTTTACGTGATGCCCAATCGAATAAATTTTTGTACAGATTTTGTGAAATTTTCACGCTCAAATTTTTAACATTTTCATTATCCGAACAACTAAATGATGAAATTTTAACTAAGAGAGGGATAAATGCCTCAGTGTAAAAAGCAACTGAATTATCCTATAAAAGAAACATATTTTAAATTTTGTATAACAGGATTACCCAAAATTAGATAGTAGAGATTGTCTTACCTGATTACTATTTATAAATTCGTTAACTTGATTTTCTGTTATATTTTTAAAATTAACTTCAGTAGGATTATCTACAAATGTTTTTAAAGATCCTGTCGGCCTTGCTTTTATCGATAATCCATCAAGGCTTAGAATAAATGAATCGCCACCAGGTTTTTGAGTTTCAAATGATTTTTTAAATGTAAAACCATTTTGTTTTGTTTCATTATTAACTTTGTTTTCGTTTTCCCCTTCGCCATCTCCATTTTCTTCTTCCTCATCATCATCATCATCATCTTCTTCTTCCTGGCTATTTTCGCTATCTCTATTTTCATCATCGTCATCTCCATTAAAACTTTCATCATCACTATTAAACATAAATTTTTTTTTTTAGTTTTTACAAAAAATGTAAAATAATATTTATATTTATTATCAAATAACATACCTCATTGTTTCCAAAACTTGAATTTTTTCCATTTTAGTTAATTCTTCTTTTAATTTGGTCGTACCAACAGACCCAAATTGATTTCCATTAACATTAAGTTTTTTCATTTGACTTTTGTTTTTTATAGCTTTCGCTATAGCCAATCCACTTTCTATTCTAATTTCATTATTTCCCAAATAGAGTTCCTTGAAATAGTATCAATTATTAGTAGTAATAATAATAATAGTAATAGTAAGCTAATAATACAATTTAATGATATGGCATACTTCTAAATTCATATGTTTCTCTGTCAGAGCATCTGCGAGTACTGTAGCCCCATCAGTTCTAAGCAAGCAATCATCAAAATTTAAAACTTTTAATTTTTGTAAATGTGGAAGAGCATTGGCAATGTGTTTTGCACCTTTTAGCGTTATCGTATTGTCATTTAAATCTATCAAACGTAAATTAGAATTTTTTTTAAACGATTCGCTCAGAGCTTTTATTCCCTCATGATAAATTCCATTTTGATACATTGATATTTCTTCTAAGCTACCCAAGGTCTATAAAATAATTCAAATTTCCCCATTAACGATAATGATAAAATTTAAATAAATTGTTATGAACTTTGACCAAATGTATGTTCTTACTTGAAATACTTCCGCCAAAGCTACAGCTCCGGCATTTTCTAATCTGTTTCTTCCTATTTGTATTAATTTTAAAGATAAAGCCTTTCCATCTTTTGAACTATTTTTATGACATTTAAGTAATGCTTTGGCAAGCATTTTTCCACCAGATATACCTAAACCATTATTATTGAGCTTTAAAACTTGGAGTTGATAGCAAGCAGGACTACTTAATAAACTTCCCAAACCGCTCACTCCAATCGGTCCGAATGCATTATCACTTAAATCTAATTCTGTTAATTGAGCATTAGCTAATGTCAAACCATTTCCAAGGAATTCCTATAAAACAACATATACCATCATATGTAGTGGTAACAAAACTTTTTAATTATTATTATCATGATAATAACAAACCAAAGCTTTTGGAATTTCTTCTTTCATTCGTCCTGTAAACATGTCTTTCCAAATGGCTCTCTTTAATTCACTTTTTGATTCTAATGCTTTTGATATGGCTTTGGCGGCATCTACTCCAACAGTATTTCCTTCTAAATTTAAAAACTCCAGATTTGTACATTCTTTTATTTTATTAACGACTTCTTCGCCTATGAAAAAATATTCAAACTCTAAGTTCTATTTTAAAATTTCTAGCAAAATCGTTTAATAAAAATATAAAAAAACCCAAACGTGCAATGTTGAAAAAACAACGTTTAATAATAACACATTGCGGTTATGTTTATACTCACAGTCATTTTCCGTGTTTAATTTTAAAGATTTTCCTTGAAAACTAACGCCTTGCGTTTGTAATCCAGTTTGTGAAAATTTTTCCATAATATTATTTAAAAGCCCTTCATCCATATTAAAATAATTAATAAAAAATACTATTTGACAGTGTTACCCAGAAATCTCGTTAAACAAATAATTGCCACTTTATTTTAAACGGTGAGTTATGAAAGGAATTTTTTTTTACAAAAAATTTAAAAAGTTTTACTTTTAAAATTTATTAACAGCTTAAACATAACTAAAATGAAAATTAATTTTAAATATTTTACATTATTTAATTAAAGTTAATTTTAACAAAAAAATAGTGAAAATTTTTTTTTCATAAATATATTAAGTACAAGTAAAATCATAAAAAAAAAGTTATGATAATTTTTAAATGGTGTAAACTTAACCATCGATTTTCGAGCCAAAATTAACTGACGTCAGGACAAAAAAAAAAGTAAGTCAAAAAATTTTTTTCCCTTTTTTTTTAATTAAAAAATTGTCGATTTTATAATAATTTTATTTATTTATATTTTTATAATATATTATATTATATCATGAGTTATAATTTTCTTTAAAGTATAATAAGGATTCATCATAAATATTATTAGTTGAGTCTAAAAAAAAAATTTATATGGTTTTACATAAATGGGACATTCAAAAAAAAAAAAAAAAAGAAATTTGATTTTTTTCATTTTATGAAATCAATTTTTCTAATTTATTAATAAATAACTAACGGTTTTTTGCTGTTAATCATGTTGTATTTGTGATTTTTTAAATAATCGCCTGTATAACAATGTTAATCTGTTTCAAAATGTAGTATACTACAATTTGAAGAACAAAAAAAAGTTGTATAACCTCACACAAGTTAAAACAAAAAAAAAAGTTTAAAAAACATAATTATTGTGTAATAAAAGTAAGATATTTATAAAATCTTCATGTTATGTGATGTAAATAATTTTTTAAACTGAAACATTTCTTTTTTTTTTACTCAATGACATACACACACACACACACACACACACACACACACACACACATACACACACACACACACATACAGACACAAACACAAACACACACACACACACACAATGAAAATTTTAATCAATTTTATTTTCATCAATTCTCTTCTAAAGTGTTTTTTTTTTACAAAATATTTTTTACATTTCCCACCTCCATCTTTGTATATATTAATACTTTTCATTATTATTATTATTACTATTTATTTAATTCAGTTTGAATTGATGAATATTAAAAGAAAATTTTTTAATTTCACAATACCCATGGGAACTGATAATAAGGTTTATTACATCATTGATTGAAATAAAAATATTTTTTAATAATAACAATGTAATAAAAAATTATGCAAAATTCTTAATCATTCATTTATTAACTTTTTTATTTTTCTATTTATTTTCAGAACTTATTTTACAGAAGAAAAAAGCAAAAATTATTGATCATTTTGTAACGGTCACAATGAAAATATTTTGATTAGTAAAAAATCAATGGATTTATCAATTAATTTACACAAATGAAAAAATATCAAAATTTATTTTAATTATAGGTAAGTAAATTTTTTATTATTTCCCCCCTCCCTCCCTCCCCCCCAAAAAAAAAAAAAAAACAAAAAATTACATTTAATTTTTAATAAAATTTTAAATGATTTCAGGTACGTCGTCATGAACATTTGTTTAATATCATTATTATCATATTTATTTTCACATTTTTTTCTATTTAAAAGAAAAAAAAATGATACAAAATTGAGGAGGCACGATGATAAAACAGGTAAGGAAAAATCAAAATAATATTTTTTAAAAAAATTTTAATAAATTGTAAACGCAGACAAAAGAAAAATTTAAATTTAAATTTAAATTTAAATTTAATCTTAGTAACATTAAATAATTTAATAAAAATTGTTTTGATTAAATACACAAACAGCCTAAAAATTTTTTACGGTTGTATGTTTTCGAATATGAAGACAAATTTTTTGTATTTCGAATTAGATTAAATAATAATAATAATAATAATAATAATAAGGGTTAAGGTGTTTACACTTTGTTGAGAAATAAGTTTTTATAAATGTTTTATTATTATTACCCTTTTTACACACACACACACACACATACACATCCTGCGCATTAACTCTTAAAATTTGTTATCATGTTGGCCTAATAACAACAACAACAACAACAACTCTTGGATAAACATGGAACTATTTTATTTTTATTTTTTATTTTTTTTTTGTATTCAATCGTCGATCGTTTTTATTATATTTATCATCAGTATCGATTGAAAAGTTGTAATTGTATGTGTGTGTGACTTTTTTTAAACAAATTTTTGCAAATGGTGATTTAGAAAGTATTTAAAAAAAAAAAAAAATTTAAAAGAATTTTTTTTTAAAAAAAATTTATTTAAAGAAGTAAGTTTTTTTTTTTTTAAATAATTATCAAACGAATTGAAATTTAATTTGATTTTTAAATCAACCTCCTAAAATTTTATCATTTAATTTTCTTTTTTTTTAGAAAACAATTGACTGCTTCTTTAAAATTTAATTTTAGTAGGATTAGTGGACAAAAATATTTAAAAAATTGATTTTTATCATTAATAAATCAATTAATAACACCTAAAATTACTTTTCTTACCTTTATTAATAAATTTTTTGCATAAAGCATTAATGCAATTATTAATTTAACAATAAATAACAAAAAATAACAATATTAATTACAATTAATTTAAATACATTATTAACTTTGAATTTAAATAATTTATTAAAGCGAAAATTAAAGCGCATTATTATTATTATTATCATTATTTTTACTCATCATTAATTCTTACATAATTTAAGTATTATTATTTTAATATTTTTTTCCCGCGACATTATTTTCAAATTAACCGACTTAATTGACTAATAATATTATTATTATTATTATTATAAATTTTCCCAATTTAAAAAAAAAAAAAATTTTGCTCCCACATAATTCTTGAGATTTGCATTCGTATCTGCCAAGTAGTATTATTATCAAATTTATTTTTATTTAAATAAAAAAAATAAAATTATTAAAAATTTCTTGTGGTGGAATTGTCATCATTGATTATTTTCGTCCATAATTATTTTATTACCATCATCATTATCATTATTATTTGGATTTTCCTATTTACTATAAAATTTTTATGACTTTTATTTAAATAAAAAAAAAAAATCTCATTTATATTGTTATTATTATTATATCATCATTTTTAAATATATTACGCCATTAAAAAAAAAACTATAATTATTATTATTAAACTGCTTCGTATTATCTTTTATTTGATAGGAAATTAATTAATAATAAACATAATTTAATTAAAAATATTATATTTATTGTTTGCTCCTCATTAATTATATTTATTTATTTTAGAACATACTATGGTGTATGAATTTAACGAAGATTTGAAAGAAATTTTTTTTAATAATCGAGAGGAACAACAACATTCGTTACAAGTACAAGACGATATTGAAATAAATAGAAATTTAACATGTCATTTATTAGAAAATAGAAATTGGTCATGGAGTTACATGAAAGTAATAATAATAATAATAATAATATTTATTAAAAAGCCAAATAAAAATTAATTATAATTAAATTAAAATAAAAAATTTTTTTTATTTTGTAGAGACAGCTAAAATATCGAAATTTAGAATCGTTATATTCGAGATATCGTTCAATTTTACATCAGGGATATTTTTCTGTTTTTTTACTTTTACAAATATTATTGACAATTATACACGTGGGATTTTTATTAATTAAAGAAATTGTGAGTAATTATTTTTAAAAAAATGGGTGAAGGAAGAGAGAGAGAGAGAGATTAATTTGTGATGGTTACTTATATATATAAAAATTTTTTTCTCATAGGACGATCCACAACATAATTCACTACCGGATATAATTTCATACATTTCCATTATTTTATTCTTATGGCCGTTAGTTTCATTGATATTTAAAAAAAATCTTGTGGAAAAATATTTTTTCCTTCCTCACATCGTATCATGTTCGGCAATTGGGATTGTTGTTGTCGTAGATTTAGCACTTCCAATATATCACACATACGTTTTTAATAATCAAATCCCCCTAAGACCCGCTTTTGCTCCTCACACATTACTAGCATGTTATATTTTTTTACCTTTGAGCAACAATATCACTCCTATTATTTTAGGATTCGGTATAACTTTATGTCACATATTAACCTTAACTATGATTACGTATAGAAATTCGGGCACAGCAACAAGATACGTATGTATAATTATTAATATTATTTTACAAAAAAAAAATTTTTTTTTTTAAACGAAAATAACGTTTACAGATTTTATCGGAAACGATATTTTTTATATGCGTCAATGGAATGGGATTCTATTACAGGTTGATTAAAGAAATGGTTATCAGGAGAGCTTTTTTAGATAGGAGAGCTTGCATTGAATTTACTATGAAATTAAATTATGAGAAAGAACAGGAGGTATATTCGAAATATTGCCGTATATTTTGGCTTTGGAGAAAGGATTAAATAATTTTTTTTTTTTTTTTTTTTTTAGGAACAATTATTATTAAGTATACTACCGTGGCACATAGCAGCTCGCGTAAGGGAAGATATAAGAAAGAAAAGTTTTCAATCTAATCCAACGAATGAATTAACAACATTTAAACCTTTCAAGTGCGAATTTATATATAATAATTTATATTTAAAAAAAAAAAATTATATAAAATTCAACTTATTAATATTTTTATTCTTAAAGGGAATTATATATTGAAAAACACGATAACGTTTCCATTTTATATGCGGATGTTGTCAATTATACAAAAATGACGAGTACAC